GCTGTAACTCCACTCCTTTCCTCTTACCAGGAAAGCATATTGAATGCTGGCAAGAATTACGTTGTTACAGGGATAATGTATCATCTTTAAAAAGATGGATCATTCTCAAGCCCTGGTACTTTAACCATTAGCATCAAATCAGTCATGACACAGTTCATGACTGATTGAATTTGAGAACTGCTGATCTCGTTCTAAATCCCTGCATTACATAAAGAAGTCATTTAGCCACATGGTGGCTCCATCTTCTCACTTGGAAATGGGGATGCTAAAATCTCCTTCCCTGTCTGGCTGAGTTATGGTGGAAGGCAAATGAGATAATGAATGTAAAAGCTTTGGGAAGGGACTTCCCTGGTGGCGCAGTGGTTAAGAATCCGCCTGCCAATGCAGGGGACACGGGTTCGAGCCCTGGTCTGGGAAGATCCCACATGCCGTGGAGCAACTAAGCCCGTGCACCACAACTACTGAGCCTGCGCTCTAGAGACTGCGAGCCACAACTACTGAGCCCGTGTGCCACAACTACTGAAGCCTGCGCACCTAGAGCCCGTGCTCCGCAACAAGAGAAGCCACCGCAATGAGAAGCCCGCGCACTGCAGCGAAGAGCAGCCCCTGCTCGCCGCAGCTAAAGTCCACGCGCAGCAATGAAGACCCAACACAGCCAAAAATAAAGTTAAATAAATTTATATTAAAAGAAAAAAGCTTTGGGGAGGGAGGGAGACGCAAGAGGGAAGAGATATGGGAACATACGTATATGTATAACTGATTCACTTTGTTATAAAGCAGAAACTAACACACCATTGTAAAGCAATTATACCCCAATAAAGACGTTAAAAAAAAAAAAGCTTTGGGAAGTATAAATCCTTTGAACCAATGGAAGCCATTGTGGTGGTATCTGTAGACGGGAAGAAGCAGTCATATTTGCTAAGCATTTTCTAGAGCCACACCAGAATTTACAAAATAGCTGAATTTGCACCCATCTGGTTTGCACAGTACATTTATGAGTGAAAATTTTACCAGTGCTCCTGGTCATTATGTGAATTCTCTTTACAACTTTGCTAAGATGTCTTAGTCAAAACCCAGTGGTTGCAAGAGACAAAAATCCAACATGAATTAGCTTGAATAAATTGGCTCACATAATGAAAACATGGGAACATCCTGGTTGGAGTTGGCCACAGGGATGGCTGGAACCCGAGACTGGAACATCGCAAGGATTCTCTGTGTCTCTCACCCATGCTGTTCTCTATGTATTGGCTTCGTTTTCTCAGAACAGCTTCTTCAGTAGGTGCGGGCATGGCTACTGAATGCTGGGCTCCCATCTTTACCTCTTTGTGATCCCAGAGGAGAGATACCCTTTTCCCCTCCCTGACCCCTCAGATTAGTTAGAAGAACCCTAGAGAGGTACTCTGATTGGCTCAACCTTGGGCCAATCACTGTATTCCAGGAAATAACCTGTAAACTAAGCCCGTTAAGCCAGATGCCCACACCTCAGATCAATTACTCAAGGGCTTCTCATGCACACAGTTGCTTCAGGGATTTTTGGGAGCTGGCAACCATCAGATCTGTGCCTATCATTCAGCGAAAATAAAGTCTTATAGATTGTCAAACCTTTATTCCTAATGAATCTTTTATATTCCTGGAGCTATAAATAGTAAATCCTTTCCCTTTCCTTCCAAATGCAAATATTTTGAATTTTTAATGATTGCTTTCCAAAGCCTACTTTCAGAATCACTCTTCAAAGGGTTTGTGCCAACGTATACTCCCACAAACAGATGTGGTAGGCATTCTTGAATTGTAAACTGTCACTGATCTATGCTGGTGGTTCTCCATTGAGGGTGATTGTGACTTCCCAGGGTATAGTGGCAATGTCTGGAGACATTTTTGATTGTCACAACTGGGGTGATGCTACTGGCTTCTAGTGGGTAGGAGGACAGGATGCTGCTAGACATCCTGCAATGCACAGATAGCAGCTCCCCACAACTAAGAATTATCTGGTCCAAAATCTCAATAGTGCTGAAGTTGAGAATTTCTGATCTATGCAAATAGACATGGTCTTTATTTTTGTATATAGAGAAGTCTCAACAAGAAGACTTGCCTCGACAGAAAAACTTTGGCAGCACACTCTATGGCTGGTCTTGGCATAGGGAGGTACACTTGAAGTCCTATTTTCCCAATTTGGGAGGAGGGCATTGAACATGGCAGGTAAAAGTTTTCAAAGTGCCCAGCTAAACTGCTTGGAAAACTCACTCTCCCAAGCTCTGCTGGACTCTGTTTTAAGGATAGTATTTAAAACACTTTAGCAAAAAGAGGGGTAGCTCAGTATACAACTGAATGTGAGAATTACCCAGGCTTGGTTTATTTCTATTCTGATCCTTGGAAAATAACAGTCATATACTATCATTAAGGAAATTTAATGCAGACAAAATAGAATGTAAGAAAACCCCCAGTAACAGGGTCTGGTCTCAGCAAATTATACAACAGGAAATAACTTATCTTTAGCTTTCAGCTTCCTGGTTTTGTATCTTTCTCCATGTCACTCACTGCCTCCCTCTACCCATTGACCCCAACTAATGGTACCACTTGCTTCTTCTTTTCAGAAGTAGTAAAATGAGGCAGTAAAGAGTAAAGACTCTGGCACTGGCCCACCTTCATTCAAAGCCTGACTCTGCTAATTACTATCGGTGCAACTTTGGGCAAATTACTTAACTAAGTTTCCTCATCTGTAAAGTAGAGATGATAATAGTGCCTCCTCATAGGGTTGTTGTGAGGGTTAAATAGGGAATATACACAAAGAACTTAGAGCAGTGCCTGGAACATAACAAGTATTGTGTAAGTGTTAGTAATGTTATTTTCAATTCTCTACCACTTTATCAAAACCTGATGTTAGACCGATACCCAATATGAAGGCTTAAATGAATGGGAACAACTGAGTATGGAGTGATGGTGATAGCCTTTGGGTTTAAGAACCTGAAATCTCAGGACTTCCCTGGTGGCCCAGCGGTTAAGACTCTGCACTCCGAATGCAGGGGGCACGGGTTCCATCCCTGGTCAGGGAACTAGAGCCCACGTGCCACAACCAGAGATCCTGCATGCTGCACGCTGCAACAAAGATCCTGCGTGCTGTAGCTAAGACCCGGCACAGCCAAATAAATAAATAAATATTAAAAACAATTTTTTTTTAAAGAACCTGAAATCTCAACTGGACAGTACCCCACATACAACCCAGCCAACACATTCTCTACATACTTGAAGCTCAACCAGGAATTGAAATATCTAGAGCAGGGGTGGGCAAACGATAGTCTGAAGGCCAAATCCAGCAAGCCTTTTGTTTTCATAAGTAAAGTTTTTCAGAACCCAGCCACACCCATTTTTTAATGTATTTTCTAAGGTTGCTGTTGTGCTATAATGGCAGAACTGAAAATTCACAATGGCAGAGTTGAGTAGTCACAACAGAGACTGTACAACTTGCAAATCCTCAAATATTTCATCCACCACAGGACAAGTTTGCTGGCCTCTGCTCTAGACCCTTGCAACTCAAAGTAGCAGTCTGTGTACCTACAGCATCAGCATCACCTGGGGGGCTGGTTAGAAATGCAGAGTCTCAGACCAAGTGCATCAGAAGCTGCATCCCCAGGGAGTTTGTGTGCACACAAACAGTAAGACTGGAGGACACTACATAGAGTACACTTGCTTTCCAAGGAAGAGTAATTTATGTGACTTTCGGGGTTCCTTCTAATGCTAAGCTTCAAGTGAAGAACTTAGTTGATTCCTTTTTACTTTTTGTTTAAAATTAATTTATTTTATTTATTTTTGGCTGTGTTGGGTCTTTGTTGCTGCACGTGGGCTTTCTCTAGCTGCGGTGAGCGGGGGCTGCTCTTCATTGTGGTGTGCGTGCTTCTCATTGCGGTGGCTTCTCTTAGTGTAGAGCACGGGCTCTAGGGCGCTTGGGCTCAGTAGTTGTGGCACGTGGGCTTAGTTGCTCCACGGCATGTGCGATCTTCCTGGAGCAGGGATCAAACCTGTGTCCCCTGCATTGGCAGGCAGATTCTTAACCACTGTGCCACCAGGGAAGTCCCCTTTTTACTCTATTTTAAAAATTTACTTTTAATTGAGCTATAATTGACATATAAAATTATATTACATTTAGGTGTACAACAGAATGATTTGATATATGTATACATTGTGAAATGATTACCAGAATAAGTTTAGTTAACCTCCATCACCTCACATAAGTTTTTTTTTCTTGTGATGAGAAATCTTAGCAACTTTCGATTGTACAATACAGTATTGGTATCTTAGTTGATTCTTATTTGTCTCTTACTGATCTGAAATCTTAAACTTTGGGGGTATTACTTGAAATTAATAAATTTTGAGCTGGGAAAATCTTTAGAGATGCCATTTCTTTCTTCTCCCTCTTCTTGGTCCATTTTCCTTTTCTTTGTCACTTTTAAGGGTTTATTTGCCTTCAGTGCTGGAGAACTTAGGTTTTTTTTTTTTTTTTTTGCCTTCTACCCAGAATAAAACTAAAGAAGTAATATCAATTTGGTGGTAGCCAGCGAACTAGGAGTCAGATAACGTGGGTTCCAGCCTCATCTGAACTCTGCTCTTGTTTCCCTGCGGCAAGGGCCTGTGCAGTCTGGGTCTCAGTTTCTTCACCTGCAAAATGGGAATAATTTTACGTGCTCAGGGCCTCCCTCACAGGATTGCTATGAGGACAAGTTGCAATACTGTATGTGAAAATGCTCCATCATTGGTAAAGGAGCATAAAAATGTAGGGAATTATTTATAGATTGCCTGGCATAGAGCCTTGAATACAGTAGGTGCTGCATAACTGTTGGGTAGAATTTTTTTTTCTTGTGGGAACTGCTCCAATAACAGCCAGCAGATGGCAGCAAAAAGCAAGCTTCCCCTCAGAGGCTCCCCCTGGTCCGCTCCTGGGGTTTTACACTAGTAACGTAACTGGAGGTTCTCCCTGATTTCTAACAAGTTCATACCCGTTCACTCACTTTCTGCCCACATTTTTGAGGGCACTAGGGACTGGGCCTGCTGGGGCCGATGGAGAAGTTGGCCCTGAGTGAACTCATCCATTTCCATTTCTCCGACTATTGCCTTTGTTCCAATGACACTCAGGTCTCCATCACCAGCCCCATCATCTTTCTTGATGGCACAGCTGACCATCTAGTCACTCAACAGTATCCACATAATGCATCTGGTCCCAAACTGAACACATTGCTTTTCTCTCCAAATCTGCTTTTGCTCCTATGTCCTTATTTGCACCACTATCCAACAAGTCATGAATGGAGAAACCTCAGGATCATCTATGACTCTTTCCTCTCCTTCATTCTCCACATCCAATCAATCACCAAATCCTGCTAACACCACCGCCTGAAAAACACTAGGGAAAAACACAACTCCAAAGCAGATACAGACTCGTTTTTAAAACATTCACAGAAAAAACACTGAAAAACATACATCGAACTGTTTCACTGTTTGGAAGACTGGTTTTCTTTGTGCCTTCCGCTTTTCTTTGTTTTCTAAAATTTCTGCAATGAGCTTGTGATTCTTCTGAAATTAGAAAATTTCAAAACCTACAATAAATGTTATTTTCTCCCAAAAGTATATGTACACACAATTGCTAGGACATCACACATAGCTCTAGTGTACTAACATGCAAAAATAATTTGGCCGTGAGTACAATATTTTGCCAGGCATCTGTGGTGAGGCTGCACAGTGGATCAGCTGGCACGGTGACCCTGTAAGCCCTTCGTTAAAAACGGCACTTCCGGACTTCCCTGGTGGCGCAGTGGTTGAGAGTCCGCCTGCCGATGCAGGGGTTCGTGCCCCGGTCCGGGAAGATCCCACATGCCGCGGAGCGGCTGGGCCCGTGAGCCATGGCCCGCAGAGCCTGCGCTTCCGGAGCCCTGTGCTCCGCCACGGGAGAGGCCACAACAGTGAGAGGCCCGCGTATCGCAAAAAAAAAAAATCAGAAAACGGCACTTCCTCCACACATGGCTCCCAGAAGCACTTCATATTTTGGATCCATTTATTTAATGTGGAAAAATTTTCTGCTGTAGAAATTCATTGTTATCTCAAGTTTATAGAGAAGATATTTTCTTCTCATGGAGTAGAGTGCCAATACCTCTGAAGGGAAGCAGAGCCCTGCCCAAGTCCTTCTTTCAACAAACATTTATAGGGCGCTGACTTAATGCCCTGGGTATAGTTTTAGGAGTCTGGGTTCCAGGGGTGAAGGAGACATTCAAGGTCCCTGCTCTTAAGAAGAGGACATCATATAGCTGGTAAACAGATGAACAAGATGGTTACAAAGAGTAATAATGTGAGGGTGGTGAGGGAGAAAAACTAAATCAGTAAGGGTGGCTAATTTTGGGTTGTGTGATCACCCCATAGGAGGGCACATCTGAACCAAGAAGTAAACTACAAGATGGAGCTAGCCATCTGCAGAGCTGCTGATAGAGCCCAGCCAGAGGGAATGGCAAGTAGAAAGGCCCTGGGCAGGAACAAACTTGGCTTATTTGAAGAAGAAAAAGGCCAGTGTGGTTTTCGAGAGGTAAGCCAGTGAGGAGCGATGGGGCAGATGAGGGGGAGAAGGTGGACAGAGTCCAAGCAGGGTCTTGTAGTTTATTGATAGAGGTTGGATTTTATTCCAAGTTAAAAACCAACAATATACAATAGCTTACATGTATGTATTATGTACCTACTATGTGCAGGTACTGTTCTAAGCATTTTACAAGTATTGTTTCATTTAATCATTACAACAACCCTGTGAAGCAGGGATTATTATAATCCTTATTTTTCCCAAGAAGAAAACAGAGTCATAGAGACTTAAATAACTTCAGGTTACACAGGTAATAAGCAGCTGAACTGGGATTTGAACTCTGGATGGAGTTCTACTTCTGTACACTGTCCAGTGAACCAGGCATATGAACTCTACATCTAATGTGACCAGAAACAAAAAGCTTGTTCCAAACCAATTCCATCTTTGCCACTGTGAGATCATCACAATAATTTGTATAAATAGTTGGAAAAGTCACTTGCTTAACAAAAACATATCAAATACCTTCAATGTGCCAAGTATTGTGTGGATTGTGTTTTTTATACATTTCTATTATTTTGTCTCCTCAAAGCCAGCATCTTAAAAAATCTAATAAATGACTTCCTGCTCCAGAACTCCACACCATCTTGCCACCACTGTCAGCCATCGCTTAATAATGGTGGTAATGAGCAAAACAGCCAGGGAGCCAGCCCTTTTATACCAAGAGTAGAAATAATAGAAATAAGCTCTTAAATTGCGATAGCTTTTAACCGTTCTCCAAAGGCTTCCCTATCTGCTATTTAACTTGATCCTCTCAACAATCCCTACTCGTTTCCAGTTGGATGTGCCTGTGTGACTTGCTTTCGACAACGAATTGTGAGCAGAAATGACAGCACAGCTTGGTGAGGCTTTGAAGAGCCAGTTCGTGATTCACCACAGCTTTTCCCTTGGTCATGACCACCAATGGCTTTCAAGATGATGGCGGCTCCATCAGCCTGAATCCCAGGGTGACTATGATGAACAGAGCCTCTTGTCAACAGAAGATGGGCATTTAGTGTGAGCAGGAAATAAACCTTTGCTGTATTAAGCCCTTGAGATTTTGAGCTTGTTGCCTTGGTATAACCTAGGCTAGTGGTTCTCAAATTTGAGCCTGCATCAGAATCAACAAAAGACCTTGTTAAAACACAAAATGGGGCTTCCCTGGTGGCGCAGTGGTTGAGAGTCCGCCTGCCGATGCAGGGGATACGGGTTCGTGCCCCGGTCCGGGAGGATCCCACATGCCGCGGAGCGGCTGGGCCCGTGAGCCATGGCCGTTGAGCCTGCTCGTCCGGAGCCTGTGCTCCACAATGGGAGAGGCCACAACAGTGAGAGGCCCACATACCGCAAAAAAAAAAAAAAAAAAAAAAAAAAAAAAAAAAAAAACACAAAATGCTGGCCCCTCCCTTCGATTTTCTGATTCAGCACATCTGGGGTGGAGCCTGATAATTTGCATTTCTAACGAGTTCCTCAGGGCGGCGGCTGCTGCTGCTGCAGGGACCATACTTTGGGAATTATTACCTCGCCTCTCTTTACCAATTCAATATTATCCCAAGGAAATATTACTCAGCCATAAAAAAGAATGAAATAATGCTATTTGCAGCAACATGGATGGACCTAGAGATTATCATACTAAGGGAAGTAAGTCAGTAAGAGAAAGACAAATACCATATGATATTACTTATATGTGGAATCTAAAATATGATACAAATGAACTTACCTATGAAAGAGAAACAGAGTCACAGATATAGAGAATGGACTTGTGGTTGCCAAGGGGGAGGTGGGGGGGAGGGAAAGATTGGGAGTTTGGGATTAGCAGGTGTAAACTATTATATATAGGATGGATCAACAACAAGGTCCTACTGTATACCACAGGGAACTATACTCAATATCCTGTGATAAACCATAATGGAAAAGGATATGAAAGAGAATATATATATATATAACTGAATCACTTTGCTGTACAGCAGATAATACAACACTGTAAATCAACTATATTTCAATAAAATTTTAAAAAATATATTATCCTAAGGAAATCAAAGCTCAGGCAAAGTTTGTTCATTCCTTCATGTATTTACTAAGCCAGCTATGTGCCAGGCGCTAACCTAAGTTCTGCATAATCAGTGACAAACAAAGCAGACACAATCCTTGCCCTCTTGTCTCATAAACTAGTGATTTGCTCAAGTCTACACAGATAGTGGTGGAGCTAGCAGTTGAATCTGTGTCTTCTTACTCAAAATCCAGTATGTATTCCATTATGCAATAAGCAACATTGACAAACACCTCCTTGGTTGCTGTTTATTACCCCCTTCAATATCTTCTAATATGGAGGTAACTCTTAGTTTGGGGTAATTCTCAGACCCTTTGTTTGTGGATGGGTTTGCATTTGCAAGTTTGGAGAAGGGAGCTTCACTGGGGGTGAGGAATGTGAGGGGTCCTCAGCCCTGTGAGGAGACAGGAGAAGAAGGGAAGCCTCCCTGATGGCAGCTGCAGAACGAGAGAAGTGAGTAAGGAAGTGCTGTAGGTACTGTGATGCGCTGTCCAGATTCCCCTTCAAGGATGAAGGACTTACTCTCCCAGCTGCTGGGCGTATTGCTGGCTGGCAGTCCTCAGCTCTCAGCTCCCTATGAGGACTACCTTTCCTAAAGAGAGCCGCTTCATCCAAGGTCTCAACCCAGTCCTGAAAGGTCTCTGAAAGGCCAACCCAGCTCCAGAGTTCTTCACAGGGCCAGCCTTTGGGGTGACTGCATCACAGCTCAACTTTTCCCAGTCCTGCTTTCCTTCCGTCCCTTCCCAAAGGTTGGGGTCCCAAGAGCACTCTTTAATAAACACCTTTCATGCTAATCTTCATCTCAGAGTCTGCTTTCCAGCAACCCAACCTGTGACAGGGGATTTCAAGGTATCTGCTGTGGGGCACCTTGAATCTAAATCTTCTCCTGGTCCCTTTCAAAAGCTTTGGTGAAATTGGCATTTCTCACTCATGCTTTTGTGAGACAGCATTATAGTGGATAAAATGGTGTCCTCCCCAACCAAAAGAATTTTTTTTCATGCCTACATGGAACCTAAGAATGTGACTTTATTTGGAAGTAGAGTCTTTGCAGATGTAACTCGTTAAGGATCTCAAGATGAAATCATTCTGGATTTAGTCTGGGCCCTAAATCCAAGGACTGGCATCTTTATAATATGAGGAGAGGATGCAGGGAGACCCACATGCAGAAGAAGGCCACGTGAAGACAGAGGCTGAGATTGGGGTGATGTGGCCACAGGACAAGGAACGCCTGGCACCACCATAGGCTGGAAGAGGCAGGAAAGATTCTTCCCTGGAGTCTTCAGAGACAACATGGCTCTTCAGACACCTTTATTTGGGACTTCTAGCTTCCAAAACGGTGACAATTAAATTCCATTGTTTTAACTCTTCAGTTTGTGGTACTCTGTTATGGCAGCCTTAGGAAACTAACACAGTATTCTATTGATGAAGAAAATGAGGTGACAGCTGACCATCGTACGAATGGAAATGAAATGTTCAGTGCTGGGCATGCAGTAGGCATTCAGTAAATGCTTGTTGAACTAAACTGAACAAAATGCTCATAAA